TTCAATTTTATATTCCTTTTTTACCCGCTTACCATCCCTACCCAGTCGTACCTAGGAAAGCTTTCAGTATTCAATAGGTGCTGAGACTGATTTATTGGTCTCCACAAGTGACGAACTGCATGCTCTCATTATGTGAGTCACATTTATGAACTGTTAGAAAAATAATGACTAATTGTATTTTTGAAGACTAACATGAAACGTGGTGCTCTTGATTTAAAGACATTTATACAAAACTTTATTATGAAGGCAGTCTTTATTATGTGAGCAATCATGCACGGCTTAAAGCCTCCAAGTTATAATAACAAGAACATTAGGTTTATAGCATGAATATTAAAATATGTGAATTCTTTCATAGTGCAAAGTAGTAAACACTTTTGAATTTAACTCTTTTCTTCTTACTCCCCCCAACTTCATTTGAATAAATTGTCACTTTAAATGTTTGTCTATAGTGGTGATCATTTTGTAAAGTGTAGAAATATTGAGTCACTTTGTTGTGTACCTGGAACTAACACAGTACTGTAGGTCAATTATACTTCAATAATGAAAAAACTGTTTGTCTATAATATTTTCCTTTTAGTACTACAGCTCCAGATAGGGAGTGTGTCATCATTTCAGACTTGTGTAGTATACATATGGTATCATTCTTCCCTGGAGTTTTAATATAAATAGTATTTATTGAAATAAATGTGAATTTTCAATCACAAACATTGATTGGATATCTTTCATTTTTCAGGAAATGTGTCAAACACTTTTGGCCATAAGAAAACATAAGGAAATAGGAAATTCATATTAAGATACAAGAGCAATTGGGGGAAAGAAGATTGCTAGTTCTTAAAGAAAGAAATTTTTCAAGAGTTGTTTTGTAAGTTAATGCATGGACCATTCAGCTCCCTTCAGTATGGCATGGGGTAAGTCCTAATTTCCATTCTGAAGGGCCCCTCCATCTGTAACTTCTCAATCAGGGTAGATGACTGGTTAACTTAGGTGATTAGAGAACACAGGCCTAGGGGTTTGTGGCTTCAGAGTTGACCTTGTTGCCAACTTCACTCATTTCAGTGATACAAAATATGCCCATCCCCTGTCCCCTAAGCCTACAGCAGTGCCACTCAAAGTGTGTTGGGTTTTTTTTTCAGGGGGGGGAGGGGAGGGCACTAATGGTCCATGGTACATAAAGAAAGTGACAGTAAGCATTGAGAAAGCACTTAGAAATTTTTATAGCAATTTACAGAGTAACTGCATGCATGTTGAATCTAATGGTAATTTAAGAATTTGAGTTCCAGTCTGGATATCTTTTAACTTCATTTTTCTACTGATTTTTAGTGTAGTTTATAAAAGTATTTGCTCACAATATGTTATAAAACAAAATAAACCTCTGACCATAGATAGTACGAGAAGAACTGGCATGAGATACATTGTCCTGGGTATAAGCACGTGCCTTAGAGGTAGAGTTCATGAGTTCAAGTGCCAGTTCCATTGTTTTCTGGTGGTGAGACACTAGGCAAATTGCTTCTCTGTGCTTCACTTTCATTGTTTCATCATGGGATATCATTAGTATTACCACCTAGGATTATCTGAGAATCTAAAGTGCTTTAAACAGAGTCTGGTACATTGTGAGGCTCCTATTGTCCTCGGACACTAAGGGGACAAGGCTGTGGCAAGGTAGTTCAGCCATGACAAGAACTCAGGGGGGCGGAATCTAGGAAAAAGGTTCTGTCAGCCTAATGGATCCCGCAGTGATTCTCTCCAGAAAGAGACTTCTGATATGCTCAAGGGATCTAACCATTCAAAAAGTGTATCACAAGAGTTTAATAGTTTAATTACAGTCTGTCCTATCTCAGCTTGTCAATGGATGGTAACAAGGCTGTACAAAAGCTAACTAGGTCTAAGGTACAGAGGTGAATAACCATTTCTAACCCTTTTCCATATAATTCTTCTCCTCCTGATTCAGGTAGATGAACCACATATTATGTCCACACCCCCTCTCTATAGATGATGTGTTCAGTCCTTCCTTATACTTTTTCTCAATCTAAGAACTATGTCTCTATTCATTTATCTTAAGCTTGTTCTATGAAATAATTTAAGTGAGTGCAGGATATATTTGATTCCTATGTCATCCCCCCTCCCCTTCCTTCTTCTACTACTCATGGCCAATTACATCATTATCCCTCCAGTGTATTGATACCTCTTTAATAGTAAGCACATTCAATTAAGGACTAAAATCTCATGCAATTCAAAGAAAAAAGCCAAGGCAAAGAACTGGAGGCTTTTAAAAATTTTTGGTTATTTGGCCAATTTCTGAGTTCTGGAGAGATGGAACTAATTGTTTATATATTTGAGTGATGTGTTTGGGTCTTGGTTTTTTCCATATTTTTGCCATTATATCTTCAAAGAAGTTCATAGAAGTAAGTGTGTTTTGTAAAACAAGTTTTTAATAAATATCTCATAATCTCATCACCGATTCCCACTTCCAGAAAACTCCATTCCTACCCATAGCAGGTCGGTAGCATGATCTTCAAAGCCCAGGAACAATCAGTTCCAATTACTTTACTAGGCAGGAGGAGACACCTTGACACTGTTGTATTCCGCAGCAGCCATAACCGTTTGCCATTTTTAGCCTCCGATACCAATTGCTTCTCCTACGGTCATCTTCACTGGTGCGCCAGTTGCCAAAGCAGATCTGTCTCTTTGAGGCTTGCTTTTGCTCAAACTCTATGCGCTCATTTGATAAAGAGGCTGACTCCAAGCCATGCTTCATCTTTTGCTCCATGGGCTATGCTTGGGAGTTGGCTCACAAACTGCCCCTCAAAGGGAGGAGGGAAAGTGATAATAAAAGGAGAGCTATGGACTGTGAAACCTTGCCCGACAGGCTCTCTTTCCCGGGAATTAGCTAGGAAAGCAGAAATGTATGTTATTAGAGGGCAAGTGTCTGGCGTTGCAGCTCTCACTGGGCTCTGTCATTGGTAAGACTCCTTAATGGCTGAGCTTGGAAAGACTACACAACAGCTGTGCCTGGAGATAGCACACACTGAGTGTGATTAGGGTAATGTTTTCTTCATTGCTTAAGCAACAGAAGGAAAGAGCAGAGCTAATGCATCAGGCTTTCCTCTCAGGCACGGGGGGGACAAGAGGATGCCAGACAGCTACAAAATGGTAGATCCCTGTGATCCAGATATAATTGAGTTGTTCGGCCCATGCAAAATCAGAAGGGGGAAAAAATATATCACCTCCTCTTATAAAACAACAAAAAAACCCCTCAGAATGATCTATACAGAAATCATGTGAAAACCATGGAGTTATTTATGGGATTGTGGTAGGAAAGTTAGAAAGTCTAATCCCTTTTTAGATCTGCCTGCCACTCCGTTTTTGTGTAACATTAAGAAATACATTATCCAGAACTGTGTCTCAGTTTTTTCATCTGTAAATTGGAGATAAGACACTTATTCTATCAACATCAGAGCCATTTTGTAAGAATCAAATACATTAATGGATCTGAAAGTGTTTTGAAATGTGCCTATATATTATTGTATTCATATTAGGAATTTGATGGTAAAGCATATTCAGTTTCTGACTGCATTAATACATAGGAGAACATATCAGAAAACTCTCACGTGTATTGTGTCAGGAGTTTAAAAATGAGCTTTTTTTTTTTTTTTTTTTTTTTTGCGGTACGCAGGCCTCTCTCACTGTTGTGGCCTCTCCCATGGCGAAGCACAGGCTCCGGACACGCAGGCTCAGAGGCCATGGCTCATGGGCCCAGCCGCTCCGCGGCATGTGGGATCTTCCCAGACCGGGGCACGAACCCGTGTCCCCTGCATCGGCAGGCAGACTCTCAACCACTGCGCCACCAGGGAAGCCCTAAAAATGAGCTCTTGAAAATCACACTTAGGTAACTTCTTCTAAAGCCTTCTTACATTTTTGTTTGTTTTGATTTTTACCTGCTCAGCTTCTTTTAAAAAGTGCTAATTACAGACAATGCTTTTCAGTGCTTTTCCCAAGAAAATGGCAATCGTCAGAACTATTCTAAAGGTAAAGAAAGCCTTGATTCTACTTTATGTGTGCCTCATCTGCCAGTGGAGGAATAATCAAGAAAAAATGCAAGAGTCAATTTTGATACACTCACATATTTCTATGGCAATACAAACCCTTCCATATATATGCCCCAAGCCAGGGCAGGAGTAAAAAGTCTACTCTGTGTTTCTTTTACTCTCAGTTCAAGACAACTGGATTACGTACCTGTTTGGTTTTTCATGTAACCTAAACTTAGTTTTGGATTTCTCTTCTTGGATGTCCTTGTCCTTTGCAAAGACACTTGACTTAAGGGCATCATGTAAGTATTTTTGCCACATTATTGTTATGAACATTTTTTTTCCAAAAGGAAATAACACTGAAGGTCCACATTCCACTTGGTGTTTCTGGAGGGTGTTTTTGGATGAATTAGCATTTAAGTTGGTGAACTGAGTGAAGCAGATTACCCTCCCTACTGTGGGTGGGCCTTTCAAGTCAGCTGAAGGCCAGAATAGAACCAAAAGGCTCACCCTCCCCCAAGCACTCAAAATAAACCATCAACTCTTCTGAGTCTCCAGTTTGGCAACTCACCTTACAGATCTTGGGATTTGTTAGCCTCCGCAGTTGCATGAGCCAGTCAGCCAATTCCTTATAATGAATCAATCTCACATAAGTCCTGGGGATGTAATGTACAGCATGGTGACTATAGTTAATAATACTCTATTGTATATTTCTAAGAGAGGAAATCTTGAAAGTTAATCATCACAAGGAAAAACAATTTGTAACTAGGTGTGGCTGGATGTTAATTAGATTTATTAACAATATATACAAATATATACAATATATACAAATATTGACTCGTGTTGTACACCTGAAACTAATATAATGTTATATGTCAATTATAACCCCAATAAAAAAATCAATCTCTCTCTATATATAGATATAGGTATATGTGTATATATGTAATATAGTTTTACGTACACACATCCGTTTAGTTCTGTTTCTCTGGAGAACGCTGAAGAATACAGGCAGTTACATTTTGTATTTTTAGATTCCTTATGAGAGAAGGTAGGCCATTCCTCAATATTCCATTGTTTTCCATCTTCCAGTGTTTCCTGCACTGGTTTTCCATGTAAATTTCAGACTATCTTGGTTGGAAAAAAAAAGATATTACTGTGTGTGTGCATGTAAACACAGTTCATATACAGAGAATTTTTCCAATGTAAAGGATCTTCATTATATTTAAACTCACACTCTTTTATGTACGTCTCCTACCTGTTAGCTGTTTTCCTTCACTTTTGGTCAGTAATCCTTTTCTTGGCTAGTTTGCTGATGTTTTCCACCTAAGATATGCCACAAGATTGATGGCCTCAAACCTTCAACTTCAGCTTTCCTCCTTTTGCAAGTTAAGATTGGGTTTGGGTCAACTCTGGGTCAAAAATATATTAGGTTAGTCTTTTCAGATTGTGTTTAGATCCATATATCAAGAACATACTAAAATTGAGATGGCTTCCTTGGCTGCCCTATCAAACCATTCGACCTTTTAAGATTCTTTTTCCAGTTTTGGTTTCCTCTTTGCACTCTGCCTACACAGTTTCTGTTGAAAGTGCAAAAGGAAATCATTTCTTAAAACCTCAAAGTGCTACACTTATTTCATTTTTTTAAATTTCATTTTTATTACAGAAATCAAAGTGCTCCAAACAATTTTGGAGCACTTACGTAGTAGTATGTTAGCAAGAACACTGTGCTGGAGTCAAACCACTCTTAAGGTGCTAGAGTCCTAGCTTGGAGCTGTGTTACTTTAGGTAAATCACTGAACTTCTCTGACGAAAATTGCACTGCCTACCTTAATGGAACTGAGGAACAGATGATATTGGATTTGGAAAATTAATTTGTAAGCTGTCAATGAATATCATAGTGTATTAAATTTTTCTTCATTTCCTAAATAAATGGTACTTGATTTGTAGTCTACCTATCTACCACTTTCCATTTTCACATTAAAGCAAAATTATAATCTCTTATATCCTTGGTGTTGGATAGTGAATAGACACACTGAAACCTCTAAGCATATCTGGTCTAGGTGTTTCCCAATGTCCTCTTGTATATGAAAATATATAATGTAATTTCATTGGAATTTACAATTAAAATATTACCTGGAAGTTTCATACCAAGGACATGAGGTCTCCCCATTCCATACTTCTTTTAGTGGGACTGGTTTGATCCTATTATCTCAGCACCTCTTGTGGTGATAAACTGATCCCCACAGAGAGGACCCAAGTTTTCATAGGATAGATAAGGTATATTAAAGACATAGAAAGTAAAGCTGCAAGACTGTAAATAATTTAACCTAGAAATGCTAAGCTTGGAAAGCAATTAATTATAGACAAAAATTTATAAAAAGAAAAGAATGATTTAGTTGAATGAATGATGGAAAAAATCTAGAGATCTGGGTTCTAACCCTGTCTATACCATGAAATAGCACTAGGATTTTAGGTACATTTTTTAGCTCAGGTTCAGAGTTTTCATCTGCTTAAAAAATAATGAAGATGTCCGTACCAGAAGATCTTTAAGAAACTTCCTAGCACTAACTCTCTGATTCTGCCCCTCTCCTCAAGGCTCTAGTTCCCAGGACAGCCACCATGCTATCATAACAGCAGCTTCCTCTTTGTCTCTCATATTCCAACCTCCAGATAAGCTTATGTGGAAACTGAAAGAATTGCCCTCTCCAGCAGAATATATATTATAATCCATTCAATCATTCACAATAAAAAATATGGCACCTACCTTCACAAAGCTTCTTTTATTGCTACCATTTAAAGGTTAGTTCTGATCCAGGAGCCTGTCAATTTGAACATCAACTGGATCCTGTTGATAACAAAAAATACAATTATTAAGATTGATAGTAACTTCCATTTATTGAGCACTTATTATACTCCACACTTAACATTCTTATCTCACTAAAACTTCACAACAATGCTGTAAAATAGGCACTATTACCGTGTTTGAGATGAGGACCCTGAAGTTAACATGGTCAAATCAGACGGGTGGTAAGCACATCTCCTTCCAGATGGCTCCTTTGATGGGTCTTTCTGTTATCTAACAGTCATCTAAATTCAACAGCAACATTCACATGAAAGCCAACGTGTGAATGTCTTATTCTTGATCTACTGTGCATCTTTAGTTTTTCTTTCTTTGAAACAGGAACACTGAAGTTCATGTAAACCTCACATGGACACTGTGAAGGTAATATGTGACACAACAAGCAGACTTCAATCATAGATACTGCCAAGTTGTCTTTATTTTATTTTATTTTTTATTTATTTATTTTTTTTGCGGTACGCGGGCCTCTCACTGTTGTGGCCTCTCCCATTGCAGAGTGCAGGCTCCGGACACGCAGGCTCAGCAGCCATGGCTTACGGGCCCAGCCGCTCCGCGGCATGTGGGATCCTCCCGGACCGGGGCACGAACCCATGTCCCCTGCACCGGCAGGTAGACTCTCAACCACTGAGCCACCAGGGAAGCCCTATTTTATTTTTTAAAAATTTTAATTTTATATTGGAGTGAAGTTGATTTACAGTGTTGTGTTAGTTTCAGGTGTACAGCAAAGTGATTTAGTTATACATATACATATATCCATTCTTTTTCAGATTCTTTTCCCATCTAGGTTATTACAGACTATGAGTAGAGTTCCCTGTGCTATACAGTAGGTCCTTGTTGATTATTTTATATATAGTAGTGTGTGTATGTTAATCCCAACCTCCTAATTTATCCCTCCCCCACACCTTTCCCCTTTGGTAACCACAACCAAGTTTTCTTTATTGTAACACTGCCCATCCTGACTTTGATTCTGAATGGATTCCCAACCATCTTTTAGAAGTTATTTTAGAGATCAAATAACAGAAAAGAGACAGAATTTTGACTATACTTAGGGTGATCCTGCATGTGCAGAGAAGGCTCAATAATTTTCAATTCTTGATAATGATAAAATAAATTAATGTAAAAAAAGAACGAAAAGTATTAATTTAACCCTACAGAGGGGTTCCATGTTATACTTGTTTGCGGTTTTTGTGTTTTCCACCTTACAAATGAGGCATCATCTTAAGAGATACACAGGTTCTAAATAAATGGTGAAAAAAATCACCTTGCAAGAGAGATTATTTCCAAAAGATTAATTTGAAAACAAACTATTAAATATTTTCTTTAGTCATTCAGACCCTCATTATCAGACGTCTGTGCCCTGTGTCTGAAATATTTTGTTTCTTTACTCACAGACTCTCACTTGCTGTTAAAAATTCTCTTGAAATCTTTATCATGAATGTTTTAGCCTTATTGCAAAGAAATAGGCAATTTATTGATGAATTTACTAAGAATGTTTCAAGAATATACATATATTCATAACGTTATTACTTGTTATATACATTTATACATTGTATTAATCATATAGATATATATAGGTATCTCCTAAGACTTGTTTTGGGTTATAGGACAAACATGATTTGATTTTAGCCAATATACTTGCTGGAGACACACTATGTGTATCTGTTTGATCTTTTACGTGTAAATTACATTTCTCAAGCCACAGCTACCTGGAGGAGTACCCTCAAATGAGTGGGTGTGGGTGTGGCTCATCAGAGCCTTAGTCTTTAGCTCCAGGGCGGAATGGCTTAGCTGTTTGAACCAGCCTATCCTGTCCCTCCTTTTCTGTATGGCAGTGGTTCTTAACCCCTGCTGCATATTAGACCTCCTAAGGATCCTAATCACTGATCACAAGGTTTCATGCCAGACCATTTGAATCTGGATCCCTGGGGGTAGGAGTCAGGCATCAGTGTTTTTAAAAAAGTTCCCTAGGTGATTCTACCCCGCAGCCAAGGTTGAGAAACACTCCTTTACAGGAAAAGACTTGAGCCCTGTTGCCGTCCTGAGCTACGATCTCTGTGAAGCGTTCTCTGCCCAACGGGGTACTCTCCTGCTCCCTGTTGTAGGGCCTGTTACTCTCAGCTGGTCCTGAAGTTGAATTTAGGGGTTGTAGGTATCATTTCATGTGTCACCTCCAGTGTTGCTCTAGTTACTAATGTCTAGTCTCACTTCAACAGTCACCATGATGGAATGGAGAAGGACTCTATCCCCTCTGTGTTAGGATTACTTATTAAACCGCAAACAGTAGGGGCTTGGACGTCCATTGCTTGTTTTAAAATCACTCATGGTATTACTTCTGTTATTTAATACTGCTTGTTCAGTTTATTGAGACAGCACCTGTGCATGTCTTCCCTGAAGGACTAGGTCACAAAATGCTTTAATTAACATCACACAGGCCCCAGCACGGCCTGCTCCCAGGAGCACATGACCTTGGGAGGAATGACACAGTCTGGTTTATTCCTCCAGATTAAACCAGTGGAGACAGGGCACGGGAAGCGGGAGGAGAGGACACAGCAAGTTGGTGAAGGCATCCGCCTGGGCTGTCAAATCATTTCTTATACTGATATTTACGATAAGATCACAAGCTCTTAAGATATTCAAGATCATAAGATACACACCAACTTTATTTTCCTTTGAAGTGATTTTCTCTACTAATAAACTTCCCAAGAGTTTAAAGGACTATTACTACATACGGTTATTCCACTGCTCCAACTCTGGCATTGGCCATTTACCACCATATACCTTAACTGTTTCTCGCATTAGGTTTTTGTTTTTTAAATTTTATTTTATTTTATTTATGGCTGCATTGGGTCTTCATTGCTGCACGCGGGCTTTCTCTAGTTGCGGCGAGCAGGGGCTACTCTTTGTTGTGGTACGCAGGCTTCTCACTGTGGTGGCTTCTCTCATTGCAGAGCATGGGCTCTAGGCACGTTGGCTTCAGCAGTTGTGGCACGTGGGCTCAGTAGTTGTGGCTCGCGGGCTCCAGAGCGCAGGCTCGGTAGTTGTGGCGCACAGGCTTAGTTGCTCCGCGGCATGTGGGATCTTCCTGGACCAGGGCTCGAACCTGTGTCCCCTGCATTGGCAGGCGGATTCTTAACCACTGCGCCCCCAGGGAAGCCCTCGCATTAGGTTTATCGGGTCTTTGTATAAGGAGACTCTCCAACAATTTACCTCCACGATGCCCAATTCCAGCAGAATAACCCCTTTCCCTCTCCCCTGGGATCTAGATGTACAGATCCATAGGAATTTGTTCAGTTCAGATTTCATGTTGGTAAGAATCAAGGTCTTAAAGGACAGTTGCTAGAAACCTATAAACAATCTCAATAAACGTTGGATGAATGAATGAAGTCAGTGAACAGTGTCCAGTAAAAGACAACCAGCAAGTGAAAGCCTCAAACATTATTGCTCGCGATGCTCACAGAAGCGGAGTTGGGAGTTTTGAAGAACAGGAGCACAATTTCATATCCCTTTTGCTCCCTTCCCACGTTCAGCACATACTCCATCCCTATCTACATATTTACTCTATCTTTATCACACAGATCAAGTAGATGCTGGTCCAGGACCTTTCAGGGAGAAGCAGTCCCCTGGCCAAATGAGGGGGACAGCATCTCATGTTTGCCCCAAACCCCTGCCTCCTTCACAGACTGGTTACAATAATCAATGCTGCTGTGACAGGTAAGCAACAAATTAGACATCAATGCCATAGCTCTGAGAACAGAAGCAGATAGTCACCCTCAAATGTGTAAATCCACTTAGCTGTAGTATCTGGCTGCCTCAGCTAGAGTTAAGTCCCTGACAAGTTAAAAGGATGCCTGACATGTATGCTTGGTCCTCCCTGGGGAGATGATAAGAGGGGGGCAGGTGGGAGAGAGAAGGCATGGGAGGAGGGGAAATTGAGTCCTTTGGGATTTAATTTACAAGCTGTTTACTGAAAAATTTAACATCTGAACATACCATGCTGGGTGGCATCCTCGTCCCTTTGTGCTCAGTTTCTGGCCATTCTGCCTCCCTCTGCCCGCCAGCCCCCGCCTTCATTGCTGTCTGACTTGGATGGGAAATCACCATCTTCTTTCCCAAAGACCCATTAAAAATCAGTAATGTAAGGGATCAGTCAGGCCAGCCTGCTGGCCACTCATTCCTTATGAATCATCTGACAATTTTTTAGTTTGACAATTGCACCTCATATATTTTAATATTGGTTTTCAAAGAAGAAAGCGGAGAACTTCCATTTCTTTACAGCTCCCTGTAATTTCAACTTGCTCTTTACTTATATATGAAGTCGACTTGGGTGGAAAGGTTAGAGGCAGATGAATTTCTAGTTTCAGAACCTAGGAAAGGCCAATAACATGTGCCATAATCTTAATGCTAAGGTTTCATGGAGCTTCAAGTATGCTTTATATTCATGGATGACACTCATTGAAAATGATGACAAGGACCTCATATTTCTAAAGGTTTTTAAAATTTTTTTCCTACATCCTAACCCCTGTTTAAACTTTCTTAGACAACTGTAAAAGACAAAATAAAATAAAGCAAAATTTAAAACAAGCAAAAATTAAAAAAAATGAAAACAAGCAAAATTTAAAACAAGCAAAAAATAAAACAAAATGAAACAAAACAAGCAAGAGCCCAACATGACTGAAAAGTTTTCCTGATACTTTCAGGTCCAACAAGCAAGGAATACGTTTGTTTGATTTTAACCCTCCTTAGACCATTCGGAAAAGATCTGACTATTTTTCTAACCCCAAATATTTACCAATCTTCCTACCTATGAACTTTGCTTTCTTTAATTTTTATTCATGAATCAGCTTGCTTTTTATTGACTGCTGTGAACAATTACAGGATTGGATTAAAAATTCCGGAAGACATAAAAGAGGATTAGATATCTGTGGTTTATAGGTGTAAACATAACATCATAGGACAACAGTTACTTATTTAAATTCTTACATTTACCATGATA